CACCTGTTCTGCTCCCCACTCTGTCTCTGCGCATCCTCTCACTTCCCTAATTTCTGGCCTACACCCCAGTTTTGTATGCATCAATAAAAATAAATCTTAAAAAATGTGTATATATCAACAGCTTGATTCTTTTTCATCACTGACTAATATTCCACTGCGTGGACCTCCTACCATTTATTTACAAATCTGCTAAGGTGCCTCTGGATTGTTCCTAGTTTTTGGTGATGATGAATAAAGCTGCTGTGAACACTGATGCATGGGTCATTGACTGAATATCTTAATTCCTCCTAGGTAAATATGTTGACGTGCATTTGCAGATTGCATGACAAGTGATTATTTGGTTTTATAAGAAACTGCAAAGCTGCTTTCCAGGGAACTCACCATTTTATAGTCCCTTAGCATTACATGAGGTTCCAATTTCCTGTGTTTTCTACAGCACTTCTCAAGATGATTTTCTTATGCATCCTTATTCAGGAATCACTGATGTGTTCAGTAAAATCTTCAACAGCACCCTTCACGGCTGTAAAACTAAAAGATTTGTAGGACTATTTCTCCAGGCAGGCCAAAAGGCTGGAGACAAATACAGTTCAAACGATGCAATTCTCTAATGAACAGACGGGGTTGCTCCGTTAGCCTGGGGAGCAGCATTGATCCCACTTCTCCACCTGAGCCAGTTCCCTGCAGATTCATCCTTCCTCCCTCTAACTCAGGAAGACTCGGGGTGAGGGGGCGGCAGGGGGCCTTGCTGCTTTACTTATGCCAGACCCAGAGCCCACACATCTCCAAACTGCATAATCATAATGGATTAGCCAACTTGAATCTCCACTGAGCATCCAGAACAAAGTGCTTGTTAAGACACTGGCTAAGCATCTCTCCTTCGCCTAGGCCAAGCCAACGTGTGAATTCTCCATAAGAGCACCCGGCCCAGAACAGGCTAGCCCCGGGGGCCCACCCTCTGGTCTGTGCGGGTCTTGTCGTCTGTGTCTATTTTGCACCTTTTGCCCACTTGCCCACGTTTACCCTGTTTGCTTTGGCCTCCTCAGTAGTTCGCTCGACTGCATCTCCCCACTGATCCCTTAGAACAAAATGTTAACTGTCTTGACCAAACATTCAGCTTTTCTCTCCAAACAGGACTGTGAACTTTGACCTACCCTCAGCTTGAGCCAATGTGGAGCAGAAAAAGGGGGGGTTGCAGAAGTCCACTTGTGACCCTTGCTCACCCTTCTTGATTAAAACAAAACAAAACAAACAAACAAAAAAGCCCTTTCTGCCTGACCTTGCACGTGTTTGCAAATCCTAGGAGCTGAGAGCTTTCCCTGTTGAAAGCACCCTTCCTCCCCATTACCGAGTCCGTGTGGGGGCAAATTTGCTAGAAAAAGTCTCCCTTGACCTAAGTCTGAGGGCTTTTCTATGCACACATACTGCAGTGTAGCTGTGTGATAAATGAATTGGATTTCTGTGACTGGCCTCAAAACCTCAGTGTATATCTATTATCTGTTCGTTCATTTCATCACTCGCTAAATATTGATTGAGAACCTAATGTGGTAGGCTTTTAGGGAATTACTCAGATAGACTGAGCACTTTGCCTGAATTCCTTCTTTCATGTTTCCAGTTAGCTAAGTCCACAAAAGAGCGCCCTTAGGAGAGATTTGCTGAGCAGAACATTGGAAAGCTTGATAGCTACCTGTGTGGCCAGGTGACGGCTTCAAGTTTCCCTCAGCATCTTGGTCATCTGGGCCAGGTGTGGGTGTTTAACTCCCTGATGAAGGACACGAGTTGGTGGACACATTTTTCCCCAAGGTCAGAGTCAGCCAGGACTAACAAAGTCTCTGTGCCCATGAACTTCAGCTTGGGCTGTGGGGTTCGCATGTTCCTGCTCTGTCCCACTTCAAATCAACTTTCCTTTTCCAACTATCTTCGCTCTGTACTTTGGTTTTAGATGGGAAGAAAGAGCCTTGAGTAGCACACACTCTGCATAAGATCAAACCTTTCCAGGAAATTCTAACTCTGCTTCTCTATTTTGATCCTGACTGATAAAAATTACTCAGGCATCAACTAGAATACAAAGATTTCCTGTTGTCTAAAAACATATCGCCTGGGAAGGGAACTACAACACAGACACAAGAGTTTGTCTCAGGGAAAGCACTAAATTCCATGAGTGTTCACAGAGGGAGATGTTATTTCTCAGTGGAAGCATCTATACTTAAAAGAGGCAGTACAAGAACCAGCTATGGAGAAGGTGATGGTGAGTGTGTTTCTCTTGAGTTCCTTGTAAGTTTTGGGTCTTAAACATTTATCAGATGTGGTTTGCAAATATTCTCTCCTACTTGCAGGCTGCCTCTTTGTTTTGTGGAGTGTTCTCTTGCTCTGCAGAGAGACTTGTGAGCTTGATATAGTTCTGCTTGCTTCTTTTGCTATCATTTCTTGTGCTTTTGGAGTCATGTTCAAAAATTATTTCCGAGACACACTCATGGAGCTTTTCCCTGATGTTATCTTCTATGACTTTCAAAGATTCAGGTCTGACATCGAAGATTTTATCCCAAAGGGGCTTCATTGCTATGACTGGCTGATGTCTGGTGTTATGTCTTCACTGTATCTATGTGGGTGTTCACTAGGACTGGATAGAAGATTCACTTGGATTCTGTGATCATTTTTTTTAACCATCAAGGTGTAACATTTTAATCCTGTTGCCTTTCTCTTCCACATAAGTCCATAAATATCTCTTTAACTCAGTGTCTGACTTAGCCCCTCTGATCTTTCTCCTCTTTTATTTAGAACCTATTTCCAGCCAGCCTTTAAAATCTAGCATTTACTACTCTCTCAAAGTCTCACTTAAATGTCAGGTTTTTACCTATTGACTTCCTGGTCCCTTAATACAAGAAGGGAAAAAAATTTCCCCTATAACTATGTACATATTTTAATTATGGAAGTTATTACATATATTGAAATACGTAAATTCTCTGAGCATGTTCTCAAAATTATTTGTCTTTCATGCTCTGTTTATCAGACAACTGAACACATAGTGAAGACTCAGCAAATGTCTATTTATACGATGCCTCCTATGTTTGATCATTAAACATAGCCATCTCTGTAATCATGCCACTCTCCAGGGGCAAACACACCTTCCTTCATTGCACAAGTATCTAGTGCCCACTAAGCCTTGGACATGGAACTTCAGACCAGCGCTTCTTTAAAAAATGTGCTACTAGAATAAACACACCATGTTGTGTCTTAGAAGACAGAAATGTGACATTTCTGAAGATTTCTCTGAGTTAGCTAGGCCCAGCTCCAAAAACGTTACCTAGAAATAAGAGGCACCATCAAATTTGATGCCAGATTATTGGGGGTATAATATTAGTGGACCAAAACGTACATTTGGGGCAAAACATATATATATACACACACTGAAAACAGAAAGCTAAGAAAGCCCTGGGAAGGAGCGTCATCAGCCAGCAGCACGCTGCAGAGGGGGAAGGAGCAAGGGCTGAGTGTTGACCGCCATGTGGGCAATGGACGTTCTGGAGGGGACCGTGCTGAGGAGCAGGCTGAGGTGAGGAAGTGAGGGCACAGCTCTGGAAACCATTGCCAGCAGCTTGCTAGAGAAGGGAGCAGGTGAACGGATCAGTGAAAGACAAACCCCAGGAATGTGGAGAGCTTGGCAAGGGAGGAGGTGGCGGCTTGGACACAGACGCTGAGTTCATGCTGAATTTGTTCAGTAGGTCACACCCAGGGCGTGTGGAAACTGGGTTTCATCCAAAGCAAACCAGCCTGGGGCACAATGAAACCTGTGGCTGGTTCCTTCCCACACTGAGTGGTCAGCAGGTCAGAACCAAACCACAGTCTGCTGACCCTCAGGGTCCTCTCACATGACCCCAAGGAAGAGGCAAGTGAGGAGGGGACATGAACGAGATCAAGGGAAGCCACACACGTGCAGAGCTGGACATCATGTGGCTGCTACTCCCGACACCTTAGTGACGGGGACTGGCTCAGTGTAGCTCAGCTCACACATGCGGAATTTACATTAAATATTTTTTTTTCACTTTGTGCTTAATTTCAAAGCCCATATCTTATTGGAAATAGTCATATTAGACAGATACCAGATAGTTCATATTTGAGGCAAACCAGTATTTCTGATGAATGTTAGGAGTTTAGAGATTCTCTTGGTGGCAAGGCCTCATTTCATATTTTCAGTGTGAGTTTCTTATATGAAACACTACCAAATCTCTTTCTGAGGACCCTAAAATCTGCTATAGTTAATCGCAAGACCTTGGATGTATTGCTATTAAGGCTACGGAACAAAGAGGTTTTGCTTTTATTTGATATAAGCAATTGAACTTTCATATTATGACTTAGATTTCTGTTTTACCTGGACAACCTACAATAAGAGATCTTGACATGGGAATCCAACAAAGACCATTTCCAGGTTATAAGAGTCAGAAAAAGCAGCGTGGATTGAATGAGGATCTCCTCTGGCATCAATTACATTTCTGCAGGTGCGACCAGGCCAAGAGAGAGACCCGGGAGCACTTGATGCAATAAAGGAGAAACTCCACCATGATCTCGTGCCAAAGACAGAGAAAACTCAACCAACACAAGCTCTAGCAATCTGGGTTGAGGGGACGAGAGGGAAGGAGAGTCGGGAGGAGACACAGTGAATGGCTCTGGAGGACTAGGGGGTTGGTGCTGGGGGTGCAGTGAACCACAGCCAGTGTTGTAAGCCCTTGTTAATCCAATTATAAGAAATAATACAATAAAGAAAAAAAGAACAGGTCTTAGAATAGAGTCAGGCAAATCCCCAAGCTAGAACAGGATGTCCTCTGAAAAGACTTAGTTCCTGACGGGGGGTTTATTTAAACAATAAGCCTAAAGCTGTGAACACAATCCACTTGAATGAGGTTTCCATCCGCACGGTTTTCACACTCCGTGGGCTGTCTTAACAAGTTCACTCCGCTTCCCTGGCTTTACACTAGACCTCTAAGAGGCCCTCTGCCAGAAGCCACTGTGTCCTCTCCACCTGCCCCACAGGTAAGATGCATGACACAGCCGGACACTCTCCACCCTCAGCAATGCCTCGACCTGCACTGGCTTGGATGGAACAGACCAGCGGAAAGACAAACGCCAGTGGCTGCCAGGCACCGCGCACTGCCTGCTGTGAGGCTGCCTGGGTCCCCTGACGGTTTTTGATGACACAATGTTTTATTTTACTTCAACTTGTGTTCTTTGTTAACACTGGTTTACAGCTGTAGGGTTTAGGGGTCCAGGCTCACGCCCCCTCAGATGTGTGTCACCACACCGCAGCCAGCGCCAAAGCGCGCACAGGGCACGGGACCCCCCTCCCGCCCTCCCCCCACGCCCCCCAACCCCGACCTCGCAGCTTCCGTTCCACAGTCCGATTTCCGGGTTTTGCCGTGTCTCTTCCTGTCTTTTGACCCTTTACGGTCACACGTGGTCACACGTGAGAGCGTCACCTCACGGTGCCTCCATGGCCTGTGTGCTGTGTGTCACCCACCCCTCACGGTGCCTCCGTGGCCTGTGTGCTGTG